CCACGTGCAGCGACAAAGACCCAGAGTAACCAAATAGAAACAAATAAGTTTAAAAAAATTAATTCCAGATGGATTGAAGCTTTCAGTTCATTTCAGTTCAGTCTTTCAGTTGTGTCTGACTCTTTGCGACCCCACGGACCCCAGTACGCCAGGCCTCCCTGTCCATCACCAACCCCCTTTGCTTCAAAGAAAAAAAAAAATCAAGTCATAGAAAAATGGAAGGAATTATATTCTGTTAATCCGACAACATGGGATAAGGTTGTAAGCATAAAAATAAAACCAAAGGAAAGTTATCATACATTTGGCTAACAGCCTGGGCATTCAAAAGAGTTAGGCTAAAATCATGTCTTTTTCAAAACCAATTTTTAGTTCCTCCCCATAAATTCTACAACTACTCTCTACTCATTTTTAAAAATATTTATATTGGTGTGCAGTTTTGATTTACAATGATTTACATTGTATACATTTATATGATTTACAATGTTGTGTTAGTTTCAGCTGTACAGCTAAGTGATTCAGTTATACACATACATCTGTTCTTTTTCAGATTCTCTCTCATATAGGTTATTACAAAATATTGAACAGAGTCCCCTGTGCTATACAGTAGGTCCTTGTTGATTATCTTTTTGTTTATAGTTCTACTCATTACTTTTAATGAGCAAAACCATGTCCTTGATATGAAGTTTGCACAGTCTTTTCCCAGGTCATCCTCCTAGTTTAACCTTCAGAAGCTAAGTTAGAGGATGCATCCCTCTTCTAAAAAAGTGAGGCTTGGACTTGCTCTCTTGCTTTACTAAAGATATCCCTCTCTATCTGTCTGAATGACTGGCGGTCTTCCCTCCATCACTTTGCGAATAGTCTCCTCTTTTACTGGATAATTCTCATAAGCATAAATACATATTTGCTCTCTCTGTTCGCAACACACACACACACACATTGGCCCCTCCATCCGCTACCTTCCTCTAGTGATCATCTCACTTCTCCACTCCCCTGCAGAGGACGACTTTTGGAAAGAACTGTCTAGGGACGCTGCCTCCGCCTCCTCGGTTCACCTACTCTTCAGTCCACTCCAATCTGGCTTCTGCCACCGACAGACAAATGAAATCGCTTTTGTCATGTCACAAACCAATTCCATTTGCCACAATCATCGGGCCCTTTTCAATCCTCATTCCAGGCACATTTGACTGAACAGATGGCTCCCTCTTTCCGACATGCTCTCCTGTCTTGGGGTTTGTGGCAGGGCAGCATCTCCTCAGTGTATGGCTCTTTCTCTTGAGTATTTGCCCTCAGTAATCTCATTCATTCCCCTGGCTTTAGAAGCATCCCATCTGGGGCAGTTCCCTGGTAGCCTAGTGCTTAGGATTCTGGGCTTTCCCTGCCGTGGCCTGGGTTCAGTCCTTGGTTAGGGAACTGAGATCCTGCCCCCAAAATTCCATTTGCTATTTCTGAATCTACACACTCACATGTCCATCAGCTGCCTCTCTATCTCAGCTTGGATGTCCAAGAGTATAACAAATAAAACGTCAAAAATGGGTATCTTCAGTTTCCCCCATAACCTGCCCTCACCTCACATATGCTTCCTTGATCCCATCTCCTATGTTGTGAAGCTGGAAACTTGGGAATTATCCTTGATCTGTAATCACGAAGTCCAATATTCTGAAATATATCTCAACTTCCCATCATTCTATGTCCACAGCCACTATCCTGGCCTGTGCTGCATCATCTCTGACCTAGATTACTGCCAGAGTCCCTTGGCCTGTCTCCCCAGACCCATTCTTGCCCCTCCCTAGTCATTCTCTGCATCCCTGCCTTTGGCTCCAAACCATTTGCCCCAGGTCTCAGATATATCCTAGGGGTAAAATCAAGAAGAGTTGCTTTTGAATTGTGTGTCTGATGAGAAGGGAAGAGGAAAGTCAAGAATGACTAGCGTTTTGCTTGAACAACTTTACACGAGACAATGACTTTTTATCAAGATGGGAATGTTTGGGTCAAGTATATGTTTGGCTGATGGGGATAGGTTAGAGGGGTGATCAGTAGTCTTCTGTGAGCTAATCTGGAAATGTCAATCAGCTGAGCGGAAGTATGCTATAGTTGGAAAGAAATAAGAGACATGATAGATGTTTGATGAAAAAATGATCCAAGCTAGGCTACCAGAGAAACAAATTTTGAGGGAAAGATTTGGAAGTTGTTAGACTGAGAGGTAACATCCTGATGGAAATCCCTGGTATTATTTGGATATGTAGGACTGGTGATCAATAGGAAAATTAGACCTGGAGGCTTAGACCTGAGGGTCATCGTGAGAGTTTAAAACATGGAAAAAATCAAATGGAAGTCAAACTTCTAGAAAACCAAACTATTTTCTTTTTACATATTTTATTCAAAACAAAATTAGTTTTACTGAGTTTGATGGGGACTTGTTTAGTGACATACCCGTCTACTCACTAGAAGTCAGTAGCTTTCCTCCTCCCCCATTCCAAGTGATGACAACCAAAAATGTCACTAAGACGTTTCCCGTTCCCAGGGCCGAGGAAGGGAATCGGCCCTGGTTAAGAACTATAGGATTAGGGCAATGGTACTTCTTTTTAGCCACTGAGATGCTAATATTGGAGAACATTGGAGAAACAGCTATAAAGTAGTGGCGTTCTAAGCTTTTACCCTGCAGAAAGCTCTTGGAAAGAATTTGATCATGAAGATGTGTGCACCGCAAGGGTGTGGGGTAAGGAAAGAGGGTAGAGGGGAGCCCCCCACGGAAGAGCGTCGCTGAAGCCCAGGACAGAGGAAAGAAGCAGGCACCTGGGTTCAACGTTGCGGAAAGCCCTGTCCCTCTGCAGAAATCCTGTCTGCTCTCCACATGCGGACGGCTTTCCTAGCAACAGACGACAGGTTCTCACATTGCTGGACCCTAGGGATTTTTATTTCACTGGAGATGTCAGTGCAGTTCACCTGCTGCCCCCTAGCGAGGCGGCTCGGGATGCCCGGTAAATTCCGAATCGTATTTCCAGATTGAACTGTCAAGCTGGCTTCTGAGAGTAAATAACAGAACACGTTGTCCTTCTAGCTTTCCTCCCGTCCTTGCTCCAAATAGCATCCTTAACACTGGCGACTTCCCTAACGTGGCGAAGAGGGAGGGACAGGACGTCAGCAGGACAGCAGAGGAGCAGGAGCTGGGTGACGGAAGAGGTACGACCATGGAAAGTGTTTCCAAAGCAGTAAAAGTCGCCGGGGGAAAAGTGGCCTGGGTTAGCCCCTAAAGAGCCAGGAACGTGCTCTCGGCTGCCCTCTGCTGTCGAGACGAGTGAAGCCAGGCCCTGGAAGAGACAGCGCTCTGTTCCAAGAGGCTCAAATTAAGATGCTAGGCACCGATATAGGCCACTGGATGACATTGCTTCTTACCAGCTGCAGCTAAAGACAGAGCATCTATTTTGATATATGTGCCAGGAAAAGAAACGCTAATCATAGACAGTAGAGTCCCAAAGCACAGATTTGGAAATACTGAGGGACTAATCCTTCTCTAAAACATAACAATTGGATATGAGAGGATGGGGGTAGGGGTAAGAATTAGTTCTCTGAGGGGAGTGTTGAAGTGATCCCCATGCCAGGGATGTATGAAAGACCCCTACCCTTTGTACTTCGTTAACAGGAAATCTTAAATTTAAAAGTCACACCACACAAATTATGAAAAAGTCATTCATATATTTAAAAGATTAATCAAAACTTTAGAGGTCATTCTGTTATAAATCTGAAATAGTTTTGAGTTTACCAAAACTCACAAGGAATATGTATATATACATATGTGTGTGTATCAACATAAAGCAAAAATCCTTGTACCTACATGTTTCATCTGAGTTAAGGGTTTTTTTTTTGCCACTTTATTTTTTTAATTGAAGGATATTTGCTTTACAGAATTTTGTGGTTTTCTGTCATACACTAAGAAGAATCAGCCACAGGTATACAATGGAATACTGCTAAGTCACTTCAGTCGTGTCTGACTCTGTGCGATCCCAGCCCTGGGATTCTCCAGGCAAGAACACTGGAGTGGGTTGCCATTTCCTTCTCCAATGCATAAAAGTGAAAAGTGAAAGTGAAGTCGCTCAGTCGTGTCTGACTAGTGACCCCATGGACTGCAGCCTACCAGGCTCCTCAGTCCATGGGATTTTCCAGGCAAGAGGACTGGAGTGGGGTGCCATTGAATACTACTCAGCCATAAAAAGGAATGCATTTGAGTCAGTTCTAATGAGGTGGACGAAGCAAGAGCCTATTATAGAGAGTGAAGTAAGTCAGAAAGAGAAATGTAAATATCATTTACTGAGGCATAAATATGGAATCCAGAAAGACAGTACTGATGAATTTATTTTCAGGGCAGTAATGGAGAAACAGACATAGAGAACAGACCTAATGACACGGGGTGGGGGGGAGCAGGGAACGGGTGAGGTGAGTTAAGGTTTTAAGTAAAGGAATTTAAAGAGAGAAGAGACACGACTTGATGCGCTTTGAAAGGATTCTGGGTGCTGCATTGGGAATGGACTTAGGAGACCGAGGTGGTGGCAGGGAGACCTTTTAGTGTGGTACTTTGGTTTTCTAGGCAAGATGATGGCAGAGGTGCAGGTGGTGATGAGTGATCAGAATCTAAGTATATTTTAAATGTAGAGCTGGTGGGATTTGTGCTCATAGATTGGATGTGAGAGAGAGACAGAGAGACATACACAGAAAGAGAGACTTCAGGAGTCAAGGATGACTGAACAATCTGGAGAACAGAGTTGCCATCTGGTGAGATGGAGAAGACTGAGGGAGCAGTAGGACCCTACTGAGAAGAGATTCTGCGTGCAGACACTGGGCTAAGACATCCGGCAGACATTTGACAGGAAGGCCAACTTCACGGCTGAATATGAATCTGGAGTTCAGGGGAGAGGTCCATGCAAGAAATACCAAATTGGCAGGCGTCAAGACAGAATTGCTGTTTAAAGCCACAGCAGTGTATGAGAGCTTGAAGGATGGGGACTTCAGGACTCTGAGGAGGTTGGGGAAAGTGGGTGGATCAGAAAGGGGGCCTGGGAGGGAGACTCAGTGATGTACCAGAGTGGAGCCAAGTGGGGACAGTGGGAGGAATGATGCATGCATGCTCTGCTCAACGTGGTTATGACTTCAACCCGCTGAGGGTGGGTTGTGTACCACATGGTGTGTACACACATACCATGCTTTGCGGAGACACAAATACTGGGACGTATCATAAGGATACCAGACAGGGTTTGATTAGGAGCCTGGTTTTTATCAGGGAGTGATACGATCAAAACTGTTTCAGAAACCACCTCTTGGAAGGGTGGCATTTAGAAGCATATACTCCATGGTGGTAGAGAAATGATTCTTAACTTTTCGTTATATACTTTGTGTTGTCTCATTAACTATAGTATTATTTCTGTAGTTTAAAATCTATTAAGATGTATGAGAAATATGAGAAGACTGGAAACTAGTTAATTGATAGTTCATTGTTAATAGCTCAGGAAAGAGATGCTTAGGGTTCAGAGGACTCTGGCAGGTAGATGCAATGAGTCAGATGCTTAGGTTTTCAGAACTTGGCTATCTGCTAGCAACTGGCTTAAAAAAAAAAAAAAAAAGGAAGATGGAGGGGAATGCCACCAAGCTGAGAGGACATCACCTCCTCACCAGCTCTCCCTCCAAAAGTAAAATGTCTCATCTCGATGAAAGGGGCAAGTAGGGATGACAGTCATTGCTAGTGTTCAGAACATGAACAAATCTTTTACACAAACTCATGACTTTTATGTTTCTGATAGTAAAAACTGGAGGTATTAATTGATATAATCTATTATAAAGATAACTTTGTGGGATAACCTCTTCAAAAAGTGATGGTCACTCACCCTTATGTCATGGTTTTCTGACATGAAGCAGGTATCGGGTTTTGCTAATTTGGGGATGCACTTAGTAGCGTTTATCTTCCATGAATAGCAAACAGAAAAGTGGCCCTGACCACATGTTCTCACTAGGTTCAGCTCTGTAGCCTTCTGCCAAATCTACAGAAAATGTGTACCTAGACATACTTTGCAACCGGACAGTCAACCGAGATGCTGAGTAGGTAGCAGATTCGGGTGTGTATCTTGTTAGCCTTAGCCTCCATGAATTGTGTGGGCTTCCCTGGTATATCAACTGGTAAGAAATTGCCTGCAATGCAGGAGACCCAGGTTCGATCCCCGCGTGGGGAAGATCCCCTAGAGAAGGAAATGGCAACCCACTCCAGTATGCTTGCCTGGAAAATCCCATGAACAGAGGAGCCTGGCAGGCTTCAGTCCACGGGGTCACAAAAAGTCAGACACGACTGAGTGACTAAAACACCACCAATCATGATTCTACCTCAAGTATATATACCTGAAGTTTGACACTAGGCACTTCTAAGGCTTGTCAGAAGGAAAAATCATTATCTGCAGAGGATTGCCTTAAAGAGAATAAGCAACCAACTCCTTCAGAAAGTTTTTCTAAAAAATACATGAAGGTGCAGCTAAGTCTTCAAAGAGCTAATAACTGAGACTCCAGTATTTTGGAAGATTTAAGGATTTGCTCTCACTGAATCACACTCTAATAATGTATCTTTGGTTTATACTGTACTGCATGAAATTCGTCATTTTACTTCTAGGCATGTTAACATGGATGACTCCATCACAGAATCCTCATGACATCTCAGGGGCAAAACGTACCTCAGGCCTAAATACCAGGGTAGAAGTACACTTCTGGTTCATGTGTCCACCTGTGGAGACTCATCCATGGATGTCCTCTTCAAGCAAAAGCAAGTTCAGTGTTGAATTCACTGCCTAATTCTTATAAGTATTCAGGACACTGCAGCATGCATTTTGTTTTAAATATATCCCTGGGCTTTATCTTATTTTGCCTTCTGATTTTTCACTCAACTATATAATTTTCTTACTTTGTGTTTTAATAAGCTATTTCACTTCTATTATTTTCTTTTTCCATGAGGCAGAAAATACCAAACTCTGGACTCAGAGTAGACACAGAAATGGGGGAAGGAGAGAGAAATATGAATTGTGTTGCTAAAAAAGCCATTGTTATAAATATGATATGTGAAATAAACTAAAAGGTCATATTAGAAGGAAAATGCAAGGGCAACCCCTTCAGTACATTTTCTGTGTGCTACTGAATTCACTCACATCTCCTTTAAAAAATCCCTCTCCCCGAACTATTAATTACAGATCTCATGAACATCTAATGAATTCTGAATATTATTGTGATTTAATGTAAAATATCAAGAACTGTTCCATCTAAAAAAAGTAATATACTATGTCTCATACAAAGTGCCATACAAAGGCAATTTTAATTTGCTAAAACAAAAGAAAAACAAGAAACAGAACAACCTTTTTCTCACTGCTACATCTACCATCTTAAAAAAAATGATACCGAGAATTTACATAACCTATTTCCAGGTGTTATTTAAAAAGCATACGTGTAAGTATTCTTGAGTAAGAAAAACCAGTCACAAACAAGTAAAACTAGAATCCATACTCCTAATTTTGGCTATGAATTTTAAATCATGTTTTATCTCTCAGTCCTGAAAATGTTATCTTTACTGAAACTTCACTGTATAATAGAAACAGACACAGAAATCCATTGAGCCTCTGCTGAAACATTTAGACTTTACTCCTGATGCAAATTACCTGCAAAAAACTAACTGCTTATACAGAATGTTTGAAGCTACGTCGATGATTTAAAAACAAGCACACAACCAATGTCAAAGCAAAGAATCTTTCTTTTTCACGAGAAACGTCTTATGTGAAGCTCTCCTCTTGAAACATGTTTGATGTCAATTCTGGGTGAACCAGGACGGCCGCTTCCTCTCCCGTTCAATGATCCTCTTGCCTTGATCCTGCTCGGAGGGTGTCTCCCCCGAATACAGCACCACAGTCTCCACAGTAGGAGCCTTGAAAGGGCCCCCCTCTTGCTTCCCTATCTGTCTTCTGATTTCTGCTGTCTCCTTGCACACCTTCTCATAGCAATAGCCACAGAGGACATGTTTCTGTTTCAGGTGACCACATTCAGGACAAAAGTCTATATTGTTCTTTAAAAAGAAAGAAAGAAAGAAAATTTAACAAGAGGCAACAAAATGCCCACATCATCAAGGATGAGGCTTGTATTAAAACTTCTTTGGAAATGTCCATCCTGCACAAGGTCACAGAGTACCCAGTTCGACCTCATTTTAATCAGGAAACTAAGGACACACATTGATTTGAATTAGTAGGGAAACTAGAATTAGAAGCCAGGTTTACCAACTTTGAATCTGGTACATTTTTACTTAAATACAACAGTCTTACTATGTGAAATGGTACTCCATTCCCCCAGCCTCAAAAACTAAACATCTGGTAAGGATCCCATGGGTGATCCACACAGCCAGCATCTTAACTAAGAGACCAAGGCAAAGGGAATTCACTTTTCCTTTCAATCAATCCTGGGAAGAACAAGATGACAAACACATTACAAGTTGGCTTCCCCTGATTATCACAGTGTAATTCAAATTCCTGTATGATGTATAGTTGGTATGGGGTGTGATTTTCTTTATAAATGAACACTGATTATTTCTTAATGTAAAACTCTTGATATATTACAATTTGAGGGTATTTTAATGAGTTTTTATACATGTATCTAATTTTAATAAGACAATTCTAACCTCTAAAGTCCTTTCAATGGGTTCCAAAGGTAGATTTGAAATATAAAGAAAAATAGTAAACAGGAACATCAAAGAAACTCTAAACATGTTTGAAGACTAACATACAAACATTTATGAGGTAGATGACAACAAGAACTTCATTTTCTAAAAGAAACAAGTGTTAGTCGCTCAGTCATGTCCAACCCTTTGTGATCCCATGAACTATAGCCTGCCAGGCTCCTCTGCCCCTGGGGTTTTTCCAGGCAAGAATACTGGAGTGGGTTGCCATTCCCTTCTCCAGGGGATCTTCCCAGCCCAGGGATCAAACCTGGGTCTCCAGCATTGCAGGCAGGTTCTTTAGTCTGAGCCACCAGGGAAGCCCCGAAAGAAACAAAGAACCTTGCAGATCATTTGACCCGCTGACTTCTCATCTTACTCCAATGCGTGGAAAACTGGGTTGGACATTCAGCTCAAGGAATTGAAAAAGTACCCATGGTCAGTAGGTGCTCTTTTCTTAACAAAGACCTCAGCATCACAAATTATATGTTAACGGAAAACTGTCTACATTAATGAAGTATTTTCCAGTTCCACATTTTAAGTGTGGTCCCAACCATGACTCAGTAATAGTTTTGAGCTTATGTTCTAGGGGTTTGTGTTAATACTGAATGTGGAAGCTTATGGAAGTCAATTTTCTGTCCTTGAGTTCCATCTGCACTGCCCTGGAGAACGCCGGGCAGTAAACATGAACTCCAATCATGGCTGTTAAAACCATAAATTAATAAATCAAAGGCAATAAACACTATAGTTTTTGTTACTAGATCAATGAAGTAAGTGTACCCATGGGAGATGGTGGGTGAGTGCTGGGGGGAGACGGAGAAGGAGCACTGAGATGAATTATCTAAGGATAGGAACACACACACACACAAGTTTCAAGAGAACAGACTCCCATAGGACACTGAGTGAGTGAAGTCGCTCAGTCGTGTCCGACTTTTTGCGGCCCCGTGGACTGGAGCCCACCAGGCTCCTCCATGGGATTCTCCAGGCAAGAGTACTGGAGTGGGTTGCCATTTCCTTCTCCACAACAGGACATTGCTACTGCTGCTAAGTCACTTCAGTCGTGTCCAACCATGTGCGACCCCATAGACGGCAGCCCACCAGGCTCCCCCGTCCCTGGGATTCTCCAGGCAAGAACACTGGAGTGGGTTGCCATTTCCTTCTCCACAATAGGACACTACCAGGGCTCAAATCCTGGTTCTACCACTTAAGTTTGGGATCATAGGTGAATTCTTTTTGTCTCAGTTTCTTCATCCTAAAACTGAGCAAAACAATATTTACTTTGATAGGCACTTATTAAGATATTAGCTATTTTTACTACTTATCTAAGGATTTTACTTCACAGTATCTCATTGGACTCAGGAAAGAACAGAATAAGTCTGTCAGGGTTAATGTAACACTGTATTGAATAGATCTACTGCTTCTGACTTTAATTTTAGGCTCTGCAATAGTTAAAATGTTTATTTACATATAGTTCAAAAGCACACAGCTCAGGACTGGCACAGCTCATGATACAAAAGTCACAGACTCTTTATAACTCAGTTTTCTGTCCAGACTCTGAACTCCCTCCTTGACTGGGTTCTGAATATTTAGCCTACAGAACAGTAGACGCATACATATATAAAAAGAATGTTCTATGTATTTAGACCAGGGAAAGGTAGACATACAGGATCTAAAAATAATTTACTCATAGGTTATATGGACAAATCAAGAGATTATGCAGTGGTGGACATGAGAAAAAGTATACCCACAAAAATCACCATATTACCTTAACTTTAATAAGCTTATGAGGGTTTCTTCTCCTACACCGGTTCACTTCAATGCTGCGCCTGTTTTTAGGAGCTGCCATCCAAAATATACTATCCAGAAGGCTGCAAGTCTCCGTACTTCCACTGGTATCATTTGCTGGTTCTGAAAATATAGCTGGACCTTGAACTGCTAATGCTGGTCCTACAAAATAAACCATGGAGATACAGAATGGTTTCTAGCCTTGAAATGACCGTTTCCAAGTATCACTCTCTTTAACAATCAACAGTAATGTATCAACAGACCTATGTAACTTAAAACATTACATTCAAAAGACATTTAACAGGAAACCTTAGAAGCTATTAAAATATACTTAAAGTTCATACCCGAAATAATTTTAGAACAGAATATTTCTTAGTGGCACTTGCTTAAATGAATCAGTGAAATTCTACCAGAAGTTTCTCATCTTAAAATACAGAACTCAGGGGTTTAGTAGTAAACATGAATAAAAGTGTGAGAGGCACCAAATTTAACCAAAATAAGGCAAAAAAAAAAAAAAATGCACTCAATTGTCCACATTTTACTTGATGAGCAGTACCTAGTTACAAGTAAATCTTAAGCTTGAGGCTTTCAAAATCCACTTCCTACCAGCACAGAAATAAATGCTGATTGTCTTTTTTTTAAAATTATATTTAAATTGAGTTAGCGCCTCAGTCACATAACCTGATAGGCCCTTTAAAACACTTAGTTCTCATAATATTTAGTCTTGTTCCCTAAGGAAAGTACTCTAAGGAAAAGAACTCATCACTTTTTGTAGGATACTAATTTACTCTTGTGACCACCAACATTTCACTTTTGTTCTTCTAAACTGTTTATAAAAATTAGTGCGAGGTGGGAGGGAAGTTCAAGAGGGAGGGGACACATGTATACCTACTGCCGATTCATGTTGATGCATGGCAGAAACCAACACAGTATTGTAAAGTAATTATCCTTCAATTAAAAATAAAAAACTTAAGAAAAAAATTTCTTTACCCTCTCCTTGCTATATTCCTCAGGCCTGCAATATTTCTTTTGATTTTAGGAACTCTTAAAAATATACAAAGCTGTTTAACACTTAACAACTGATACTCCTTTTCAATATACCTGAAAGTTTTCTAAGCACAGACCTGTGGTTAATAGCACAGGCTCTGGAAGGTCGGTGTGACCTTGAGGTCTTTCTGAGTCTAGTTCTTCAGTTGAAAAGTGGAGACACCTAATGGGATTGTAGTGGAGATTATCTTACGAAATATATGTTGACTTTGACATTCAGTGGGACTTTCCTGGTGGCTAAGACGGTAAAAGCGTCTGCCTACAATGCGGGAGACCAGGGTTCGATCCCTGGGTTGGGAAGACCCCCTGGAGAAGGAAATGGCAACCCACTCCAGTATTCTTGCCTGGAAAATACCATGGACGGAGGAGCCTGGCGTGCTACAGTCCATGGGGTCGCAAAGAGTCAGACACGACTGAGTGACTTCACTTCACTTCACTTGACATTTAGCGGGCTCTTCTGTGTATTATCATTATTATGTTCGGGATAACTTCGAAATCGAGTAGAATGTAAATGTCAAAGCAATGACAATTTTAACAGCTAAGGCATTTCCATTTAAAATTAGTTTTCAGGGGAAATAGAGGATCAAGAGTCAATTGACAAAGCTCAAATGCCAGAGAAGGCAAACTGCTTTAGGTGGTGGACTGGACTGGAAAGAAAAGAGGATCTAGAGCGCGGTGTCCCTTGATGCTAAGTTAATGCACTTCGGTTACATTCTCTGTAGGAATGGGACAGTCAAAGGACGTTTCTTTTCCTTTTTGCAGGGGACTGTGGGGGGCAAAAACTGCTGTCTTTGTTCCTAAGTAAGTGAATGCCCGGAATATCGTCTCCTACACGCAGCCAAAGATCAGAACACCGGAGCAGGCTAGATACGAGCAGAATTCACCACGCTGCTTGGAGTCCCCAGTCCAAACCCTTCTCCACGGAGGCCTTCTTTACGTACCCCAAGGAGGACTGGGAAAACCTGGTCGGCTCTGCAGAAGTTTCCGCTGCAGTTGCTTCCAACAGTTCCGGAGAAGTCCTCGGGCTGCGGGCAACGGCGGAACCAGCAGCACCAGCATGGTGGGCGCCATGTTGCTCGGCCGAAAGCCACACCCACCAGGCCTCTGGGTCCCGCCCCTACCTTGAGCATGCGCACAGACACAGAGTCGGGCAAACGCGCACCTGGAACTGTAACTCCCAGCATGCTTCTGGAGCGGCTCTGCCTTTCCTCCAATCAGAAACCTAGAAAGGAAGGCGCGGGGCGGGGAAAAGAAACTAAACTGGCCTCAGTGCGCATGTGCGCGGATGTGCGTTGGGTCTTCGGGTAAAGATGGCGGAGCGTGGTTACAGCTTTTCGCTGACTACATTCAGGTATGGAAGGGACTTCTGATGTCCTCCACGTAACCGAGGTTGCAGGAGCTCTGCCGACCAGGTTTTTACCTTCCTGGCCTCTGACTTGGCGCTTCCTGACGGCCTAGTAGGAAATAGGGGTGGAAATACGAGTTTGCCAAGTCATTTGCGTGGCCTTCCCGCGGCCTGGGGAGCATTGGTGCCTGGGGGCCGTGGGAATGCGAGTCAGGGTATCCTGGGAGATCTGCCTAGACGCTGTGGGAAGTTGAGGCCCTCACCCAGGGATTTTTTTTTCGCTTTGGAACTAGAGAAAAAGGCAATTTTGAATGAGCTGCGTCCAGGTTTCCTATTCAGAACTCAGAAGATTTCCTTCGTGACCCAAGTAGGCCTGATTCAGGAGCTTCTGCAGTTTGGAATCTTGGTCAGCTCTGTGGGGTTCATTTTTCTTGGAAAGCCCCAACTTTACAGTTCAGTTCTAGTCTTAGCTTCCATTTGGCGCTAATGTCTTTGGAAACCTTTTCCCGCTTTCGATTTTTTCGGTGCCCCTACTGGAAGCTTAAGAACTGAAAGTGAAAGTGGTAATGTTTCTAGCCTGTTGTCTTTGTGGGCTCCAAAATAGGCTGTATTTGCTTTGGGTCTGTTATTTTTGGAAGGGGATATGTTTATTTAAAGAAAGATTGTAGGCTTTTAAACTTCAGAGCATTTATGTAAGCATATTTTTCAAAATAAATCTGAGATGCACTATCATCGTTCCCGGTGTAAGAAAACCGTCACCAAAGGCTTTACTGACCGGAGAAGGATTCAATTTGGCCACTTTCCCTACGGTCAGTAATGGCCTATTTAATTAAAAATATTATCTGACAGCTAAAGACAGGCGGCATCTAACTTGTTGAGTACTTTATGTGTGGGTGGAGCTTACTTCTTCTCTTTGGGCTACCCTGTGTGATGAATGTTTTCTAAACATCTTGCAAATGAGGTGACCACAACTCAAATTCAATAACTCCTCCCTGGTCATAGGTTAACATTTAAACTGGGTTCTTTCTGACGACAAAATTAATACATTTTGCATTACTGTGTAATGTCTTCTTAAAATACTAGAATATTTATTTTTAAAAAAGATCTCATATACAATGATAGGAAACAGGGTTTGACAGGTCGCTACTCTTCCTATTTGGAAACAAAACATTGACCTCTATCTTTAAGAAAGTGTTATCCTAATTCTAGCTGAAACATGTAGCAACCATATGTTATCAGGGACTAAATCTCTCTATAATAAATTTCCTTGTTTAAACACCTTTAAAAAAAAATATGATGGTGCAATTCTGTTTTGGATTTTAAAAATTGTTTCTAGCCTGTTGTAATCAGAATTATTAATGGTAGATGTGATAAGAGACTATACTGTAGGATGAAAAGGTGTTCCTGAGGATCACATTTAGTTGGGGATATTGATAACCAGTGGGCTTCCCTCATAGCTCAGCTGGTAAAGAATCCTCCTGCAACACAGGAGACCCCGGTTCAATTCCTGGGTTGGAAAGATACGCTGGAGAAGGGATAGGTTACCCACTCCAGTATTCTTGGACTTCCCTTGTGGCTCAACTAGTAAAGAATCTGCCTGCAATGCGGGAGACCTGGTTGGGTTGGGAAGATCCCCTGGAGCAGGGAAAGACTACCTACTCTAGTATTTTGGCCTGGAGAATTCCTTGGACTGTATAGTCTATGGGGTTGCGAAGAGTCAGTCAGGACTGAGTGACTTTCACTTTCACTTCATTGACAATCAGTGGGTAAACAAATGGGTGTCTACTCATACATTCTGAAGAATGATTTTCCCTTATTCGGGAATTTTTATTAAGAAAGGGCAAAAGAAGGAATGTAACTTTAGATTGGGTGATCAGGAAAGACCAATGTTTGGGGGTTGTTCTGGGGGACTGGAAGATGAAAGGGAGCCAACTATTTGAAAATTTAGGGGTAGGGAGAGTTGCAGACAAGGGAAAGCATGTTTGAAAGTGCTGAAGTTGAGAAAGACTGAATTGATAGAAGGCCAATGTGTTAGAGTATAGTGAGCAGGAAATTATCCTGGGTCTGAACCAATCTTGCATGGCCTTGTAGGCCAGAGTAAGGAGCTTTTATTGTAAATGAGTCAAAAAATTAAAGGATTTAAGTGGAAGATGTTATGATATAAAAGTATCCGGAACGGGGAATGGAAGTAAGAGTGGGAAATAAGAAAACTATTTCACTATCCCTGATAGAGCCTGGTGGGCTGCCGTCTATGGGGTCGCACAGAGTTGGACACGACTGAAGTGACTTAGCAGCAGCAGTGGCAGCAGTAGACTGCTCCTCCTAGGTATATTCTTTAAAAATAGGTGTGGATGTATGTCTGTCTCTCAGCCAGATGAACCTGGTCATTGGTTATATGTTGGTGTATTGATTGAACACAGCTTACACTTCGTGAATGTTACAAAGTAATTCAAGTGTGATGACTCTGAGCCAAAGAGGAAGCATGGGACACTAAGGTATGAGTGTGTGGGATTTGGCCTAGTCTGGGTGGTCAGGGCAGCTTTCCTTGAGAAAATGACACTTCTACTAAGGATTGGAGAGTGACTTGGAAGGAGTTCACCAGACAGTGGTGAAGTGCATTGCAAACAGGGATTGTCTTGCCAGAGGGGTTTTTTGAATTCTAAGGGTAGTTGTGTCTCTGGAGCGCAATGGCATGGTGTGAGATGAGACTTGAGTGACAGTATCTATAATTTTATGAAGATGAAACAGATGACCTCCTGAATCTGAAGATTATATCCAGTAGACTGGATATGTGGACCTAGCTTATGTCTCACTTTGGACAAATTATTTTCATTCACAGACTTTATCAATCAAATAGAAAGGTTGGTGATGTTTATGGTATTTGTTCTAACTCAACAACTAGACTGAAATAATATATCACCTAAAAAGCCAGTTTGGACCTAGCATTTGACTGCCAAACTCAATGGAACCAGAGAAGTATAACCAGCTCATGGCATCTTGAAATAGTTTTTTGTTGTTGTTATATTTTGTTGTGACTGACATCTAGATCTTAGGTGTTAGGTTATGTCTACTTTATAAAATGTCAAACTCCACCCACATGGAATATGTGCTGTTATTTGGTGTTTAACAGACAAATATATGTTCTTAGTAACGTTACTATTTGGTGTTTACTTAGTGCTAATTTTGTGCCAGGAACAAAAGGCATCATTTCATTTAATCTTCACAACAACCTTTGAACCCGGTAACACTATTATCCCCATTTTACAGATGAGAAAACTATTGGTGAGTGGTGAAAGAAAAGAATAATAATACTGCTTTAAATGGCAGACAAGAAAAATCAACCAAAGGAAAGAGATTAGTGTTTCATTATGAATATGTTCACATCACCTAATAACTTTGGTTTCTATATAACTTCGGATAAATTTCCAAAGCCCATCTATTGATGCTTGATTAATAGATTTGGCCTATTTGCCTGCCCTTTCTCAGAGATGCTCCTGTAATAAATATTTGAGAATGTGAAATTTAGCAATACCTTTGTTTCTTTTTAAGCCCGTCTGGTAAACTTGTCCAGATAGAATATGCTTTGGCTGCTGTAGCTGGAGGAGCTCCTTCAGTGGGAATTAAAGGTAATTAAATGCTTCATTCACTTCAGATTCCTATTAGTTGTAATGCTTTAACAGTTCTTTTTGTTAATCTACAGTATTTTGATGTTTGAAGAAGTAATAAACCAAAGAAAATGATTAAATTTTTTAACTTAGAAAAGGTTAATTGTAAAATTTAAGGATACCTTGTAAAAATGTATCATTGGTTTTTAAGTTTCAAATTATAAGAACAGTAGGCTAAGTAGGCAGAATTCCATAATTTTAAAACTTAACGTACTCTAACGTGTCGTAGAATACTTTAGGAAAAGTTGCATAATACCTTTAACTGAGGGATTTCTTGTGCAATACAGATGATTAAACATTCAAGTCTTTTATTTTCTTTTTTTTAAGCTGCAAATGGCGTGGTCTTGGCAACTGAGAAGAAACAGAAATCCATTCTGTATGATGAGCGAAGTGTCCACAAAGTGGAACCAATCACCAAGCATATAGGTTTGGTGTATAGTGGAATGGGCCCAGATTACAGGTACCTTGTATCACCATCACATGAATTCCTTGTGATCGATACTTTGGGAAGAAAAAACAAGGGATGTTTTCCTTTAATCGCCTACCTTCTTGTTTTTTTGCTTAGTTGAAGAACAGCAGCTGAAGTTAGTTGCCAGTATGAGGCAGACTGGGGGTTTCTTGAAGGTGAAGAACTCAGTGCTCCTCACTTGTTAAAAGAGGAGATGGATATAGTACTCACTCCTGTCAGCTCTGTTCTCTTCTACCATCCAAGGCCTCAGCAATACATGTTATAATAAACTATATTTTTAAAAAGTTTACCAGACAGCAAAAGAAAGCATACTATCCAGATTTAACCTCATTGTATTTATTTCTGTTTTTAGCAAAAGGACAGAATTCTCAAAAAGGCCACTGGAAGTTGTAGAGTATGACAATCAGTTAGGATCCAGATGTTTATGTAGTCTCTTCTTTAATATTCACAGGAAGAGAGTAATCTGCTTCCATCAGGGTACCAGCAAGTTTAAAGAGATTGATAGTTTTCTGTTTGTCATTTAACAGTTGAAAGGATTATTATTACTTCATTGATTTGTGGAACAAGATAGGTAGAGCTAGAATTTCACTTT